TACAATAAAATTCACTAAAACAAACAGGGACCAGTGGCGAATCCGAGGGGAGGGGGCAAAGGGGGGGCAACGAAGCAATTGGCAACACTGAGAAAATAAAAGTGCAGAGGCTCTCCACAGCCTTACAGTCAGCCTTCACGGACTGAGAGATTTGCCTCACCGGTCCGCTGGCACTGAAATGCGACAGAGGTGGGAGAGAGGACCTGGGGGAGGTCTTACCTGCAGCTCCGCCAGGTTCTCCTCATGCGAGCTTGGATAGTTGCTGTGGTTAAGATGGCAACGCTCCAGATCTCACGAGAGTGAACTCTAGCCTCAGGAGCTGCAGGTTAGAGTTCCCTCCTCAGTAAGACCACCAGGGTTTCACCACTACGACCACCAGGGCTTGCCTTGTACAATCCCCCCTCCCAGGCAAAGGTAAGAAGGGAGGCCGGATATAAAATGATTTATTTTACTTAAAAAAAAGTATATATATTTATTAATATGCCCCCTTGCCGCACCACACACACCACTTTCCCCCCATGCACACCCTGTCCCCCTCACACACACCCTGTCCCACTCACGCACTCACTGCCCCCTCACAAACACACTTACCCCTCACACACACACACTATTCCCCCATACACACACACTGCATTCATCACAGACACACACATGCCACGGCACCCCTCACATGCACTGCCCCAAAACACACACACAAACACACACAGACTGCCTCCTCATGCATACACACTGCACTCCTCATACACACACACACACACTCACACTACTGCCCTTATCCCCTACTACAGCCCCTATCCCAGCAGACCCAGGTAAGTTGTCAAACTGTTCTTAAACGTTTGACTACTTACTCTGGGATGGCACCACAGCACTCCTGGCACCATAATTACTACAGAGAGCTGTAGTAGTTATTGTGCCTGGATTATTTCTTTAAATAATCTTCCAGTTCCCCTCCCAAGATTAGATTCTGGATCCACCCCTGACAGGGACATACTTATGTCTATAAATGACAACATGAAACATTAAAGGTGAATGACAGCAGTTAAGTCTATTTATATAAAGGGATCCAATCATGCATCTAAAACATCAGTTACCGGCGGCGGGACCTGACAGCCAAGATGGCCAGACGTGTTACACCTCGGCTCCTGCAACACAGGGCTGAAATTAGGATTTTTTTGCCTAATAATGCTCACTAAACAGCCTTGATCAAGCAGCATCCTAACACTGAACGAAGCGGGGGAATAAATATGTTTGTCTCATGCTGTTACAGCAAGAATTCACACTGTCTGGCTGCAAGGCCTAGCAAGACTGACGGCCTGGGAACCGGGGGAGGCGGCCAATCTCCCGACCCGGGACGCTAACTGACAAGCAACAATCCAGATGGCCCGCCACCCCCCCACTCTGGACCGGAGGTGGACATCCCGGTCGCCACTGGGGGAAAACAGCTCCCTGCAACTACGGAATCTCTCGGAATACTTAGAGTCTGCATGGCGAGCACAAGATGGCTGCTACACCGCAGCCTCCACAAGCCAAGGAGGGATCAGTCATGCAGACCTGGCAGGAAAACTTCGAACCCTGGTTCGCTCAACTGTGCCAGGCGTTCTGGCAACGCCTTAAGAGCCGAAACTCACGAGCATTGCTGACCCATCGAGAAGGCACGTCGTACCACAGATCCTGCACTGGGCTGGGGATCCACCCGGTGGCACAGCCACCAAGATACCTGGAGGGTTCCCTGGCACTCGGGGCACACACGGGCCCGCGACCCTGCCAAAAGGAAACGGAGGGTCCCTGGACATGCGGCAAGGGTCCCCCTTAAGGCCTGGGCTCAGGAAGGTGGGAAGTCCTGGCGTAGCACACCTATTGCTGTCTGCAAGCAGAGAGGCTGGCTCAGCAAACAGCTTCTCCTGCATTTGAGTGGTGCAAGCCTGCCAGGCAAGAAGTCTGCCGATCCTCGCTGGGCTACCTATGGCATCAGATGAAAGCCTATCTTGAAACATCCTACTGTGGGGTCATTTTCTTATATCAGTGCGTTTTAGTATCCAGTGGCTATAAAGCAGAGTAACCATTAATTATTGTTTACCGTTAATTATTGTTTAGCATGTTACACTATCTTTTATCTCATCGCCTTAGCCTGCTTAAATTAGCACAATATGCTTACACAATATGCTTAATCTACTCAGCAACAAGTACCCAGTATACAAACCTGTAAATTAACATCACTAGCACCTACACACTTAAGACTCATCACTTGTCTAATGTCTCAAGCTCAACTGACTCACGCAACCCAGCACATCAGACATACTTGGCTAGCCTGTCTTACTCAATTTATTTTCTTATTTTTATACTTTTATCAACATGCCTAGGATTTTGTATAGCCTAGTTTGCTTAGCCTGTAATTTACACTGCTTATAAAAAAAAAATGTGCAGTATACTCAAATGCCTTGTAACTAATATGCGTTGCCCAATTAACTGTCTTGCCCGTGCTGTTGGGGCATTGAAAGATTGTCCGTTAAACATGTGCACACAAAAATAAAGAATAAAAATAAATAAATAAATAAATAAATAATTCATCAGTTACCAATAATAGACCTAGAGCAATGGAAACTGGAAATAAAATAATCCTAATATACAATATCCATTTCTCCATGGTCTCTTGCCTTCAAAAATATTATAAAGACTATCTGAAAAGCACTGCGGCCAATTACAGTCTCTCTGCTTGGTGCTTTGTGTCTATATTTAGAATGTTTTTCAGTCACTTAATAACAAACTGTTATATGTAATAGATATATATGTATTTATATAGAATAAGGCGGAGCCTGCAGGTGGACCTTGTAGTTTTGGGAAGAGTTGCCCGGCCTATAAACACACAGGCTGCCCCTTCCTCTGGGCCGATACTGCCTGGTTCAGTACAGAACTTTCTACTTCTGGTTCAAAGGTCATCAACACAAAATATCTAAACTCCGACAAAGCTGGTTTGACCTCATGCAGCCTACGCAAGTATTCACTTTTCCTCACACTATAAAATACAGTCGCCTCCCTCGAAGCTCATGTGACCCAGACTCTGTTTTTTCCTGTTGCTGTTTGCGCATTTTTTACAACAAAAACGTAAGCAACATGTATTCAGTCCACATTCAGACCTTTACTATCTAGGCTGGCATTTGCAATTCAGTCTGTTTTCAGCCCTCATTTGAATATGGTGAATTTCACTACTAAAGCAAATTCAGCCTATTTCAATCATACACAGCATCACAATGACACCTCACCTCAGGTTCATGCATTCTGTTTACTGTAATCAGCCCTCATTTGGCAATACCTATTTTATCATATGCAATTCAGTTAGTCCCCTACATTTTAATTTATAATAAATGCAGTGCTATATTCAATTTTTTATATTTGCAGCTTATTATTGTTGGCCCCCCCGGCCTCGGTTATACTTATCAGCTTTGAGCAGATCAGCATTTGTTACTTATGTTTAACGGGCCTCTTCCAGCCTCAGTACCTATATGTATTCTATATGTATGCCTTTTGGGTATTCAGGCACTCATCGGGCCTACATTGTTTAGTAACAATATGGCTAGGCGTTGACTGACGGTCTAAATTTATGACAGGCTAGAACAGGAACACAAATCCTCAGTGAAACAAGAATTTTTAATAGAGCTGGAAAAATTAAGAGGCGATCTGGAAGAGCTAAAGGAAATAACCAAAGAATATTTGTTAGTTAATAAGATAAGATATTTGCAGGCATAGGCGTGCGCACGGGGTGTGCCGGGTGTGCCTGGGCACACCCTAATCCCGTGGCACGCCTATGGCTTGAGTCCTGCAGGAACAGCGTTCCTGCACTTTTTTTGAGCAGGAACGCTGTTCCTGCAGGCACTCAGCGCCCCCCTGTCTCACCTCTTGCCCCTGTCATAGAAACATAGAAACATAGAAACATAGAATGTGACGGCAGATAAGAACCATTCGGCCCATCTAGTCTGCCCAATTTTCTAAATACTTTCATTAGTCCCTAGTCTTATCTCATAGTTAGGATAGCCTTATGCCTATCCCACGCATGCTTAAACTCCTTTACTGTGTTAACCTCTACCACTTCAGCTGGAAGGCTGTTCCATGCATCCACTACCCTCTCAGTAAAGTAATACTTCCTGATATTATTTTTAAACCTTTGTCCCTCTAATTTAAGACTATGTCCTCTTGTTGTGGTAGTTTTTCTTCTTTTTAAATATAGTCTCCTCCTTTACTGTGTTGATTCCCTTTATATATTTAAATGTTTCTATCATATCCCCCCCTGTCTCGTCTTTCCTCCAAGCTATACATGTTAAGATCCTTTAACCTTTCCTGGTAAGTTTTATCCCGCAATCCATGAACCAGTTTATTAGCCCTTCTCTGAACCCTCTCTAAGGTATCAATATCCTTCTGAAGATACGGTCTCCAGTACTGTGTACAATACTCCAAGTGAGGTCTCACCAGTGTTCTGTATAATGGCATGAGCACTTCCCTCTTTCTACTGCTAATACCTCTCCCTATACAACCAAGCATTCTGCTAGCATTTCCTGCTGCTCTATTACATTGTCTGCCTACCTTTAAGTCATCAGAAATAATCACCCCTAAATCCCTTTCCTCATATGTTGAGGTTAGAACTCTATCAAATATTCTGTACTCTGCCCTTGGGTTTTTACGTCCAAGATGCATTATCTTGCACTTATCCACATTAAATGTCAGTTGCCACAATTCTGACCATTTTTGGGGGAGGGGGGGGCAAGAGGTGATGGATTACCCCCCCGCACCCCCCCGCAGTTCAGCCGCGGCGAGGGAGCTCTCTGCTCGGCGGCTGAACTGGAGAAAGGCGCCCGCCCCCACTGGACCCCAGGGACAAGTCCACCAGCACTCCAGGTAGGAGGCTGGGTGGACATTTAAAAAAAAAATATATATATATAATAATGTGTGTGTGTGTGTGTGTGTGTGTCAGAGTGTGTGTCTGTGAGTGTGTGTGAGTATATGTGTGTGTCAGTGTGTGTGTGTCTGTGAGTATGTGTGTGTCTGTGTGTGTGTGTGTGTTTCTGTGAGTGTGTGTCTGTGAGTATGTATGTGTGTGTGTCAGTGTGTCTGTGAGTGTGTGTCTGTGAGTATGTGTGTGTGTGTCTGTGAGTATGTGTGTGTGTCTGTGTCTGTGTGTGTGTCTGTGAGTATGTGTGTGTGTCTGTGTCTGTGTGTGTGTTTCTGTGAGTGTGTGTGTGTTTCTGTGAGTGTGTGTGTTTCTGTGAGTGTGTGTCTGTGAGTATGTATGTGTGTGTGAGTGTGTGTGTGAGTGTGTGTCTGTGAGTGTGTGAGTGTATGTGTGTGTCTGTGAGTATGTATGTGTGTGTGTCTGTCAGTGTGTGTGTGTGTACATATATATATACACATATATATATATATATATATATATATACACATACACATATATATATACACACACACACGCAGAGCCGGCGCTATCTGAGTGCCGGCTCTGCTCTAAGCCTTCATGGGCCGGCGGGGAGACCAAAGATCTACCTCACCGGCCCACAGCAGCTTGGAGGGAGGCAGTAGAGGACCCAGGGAGCTCTAGACAGAAGCTCCGCCAGGTTCCTCTCGCGATATCTGAGCGTTGCTGCGGCAACGCTCAGATCTCGCGAGAGTTAACTCTAGCCCCGCAGGCTAGAGTTCACTCTCCACTGGACCACCAGGGATGGCACATGGCAGCAAGGATTTACTAATCTGCCAAATCCCTCCAAACATACAGCACACACACATACAGCACCTACACACATACAGCTCACACACACACAGTACACTAACCGCACCCTCACAAACACACACAGCACCTTTTAAAAAAAACACAACACCCTCACACACAGCACACTAACAGCACCCTCACAAATAGCACCCTCACAGGACAAACATACACACACAAACAGCACAGTCACAAACACGCACCCTCACACACACATAACACTAACAGCACACAGCACACTAACAGCACACACAGCTGTGTGTGTGTGTGTGTGTGTTTATATATATATATATATATATATATATATAGAGAGAGAGAGAGATACATACACACGCGCATGGCGTGTGTTTGTGCTTTAGGGTGCACACCCTAATGCAATTGTCTGCGCACGCCTATGTTTGCAGGCAAATTGTAGCGGAGCTGCAATAATAAAGTCCAAAATCTCCGCTGGGGTTCTCAGGAGCTGGAAAGGAAGCACTGTTTAGCAGATATAGCCTAATCCCCCAGGAACCGGACAACATACAGTTCTGGGAGTCAACTGGTTTATTCAGGGCCACACACAGCCTTTTATGCAAAAGCCCCTACATGGGGTTTCCCATACAATGTTACAGGGTAATCCTTCCCATGATCCTGAGAGATAATTACCAGGGGAAAAAACATAATTGAATTATCTTTCAGCTACAGAAAAATCTAAAAATGTTATGACACAACAAAACCATAAAGCACTCAGATGCCACGAACACAGCCAAAACGCCACCGGTGTAAAGATTTGACCGACCACACACGAGGCTCCTGCCCAAAATAGTTCCAAAGAATCTGGGGTAGCGGTCAGTCTTCCTTGGGAGCATGAAAATGCATAAAATACCGAATGGATGCTTTCACCCGAATCGTGTGCCCCTCATTCGTGGGAATTAGTCCACCGAACAGTGTTCTTCTCAGATGTATAGAAACAAATGTAGGCAGAGATGAAAGTGTTCGAGTGGAGGGGGTCTCCACTAACTTCCTTCCAGTGGAAGAGCTGGCATCAGAACAGAGCGCAGCTGGCCTCTGTTCTCCCAGTCCCATTGTCACAGCGCCGGACTGTCCCCAGGGCCCCCCAGCAGAAGCGTTGGCATCCGGGCAGAGTTCTCATCTCATGTGTGGGGGGGGGGGGAGAACAGCTGTATCTGCTCTGGGGATTGCTATAGCACTATACTTATCTGGGTTATAATCACTTGTTCTTGTAAGAGCAGCCTGCTACACTCTCTGGAGTAGGAGAGGTCTGCCCACTGGAAGTTGGATCCTGGTCTTGGGTCCAGGGTGGATAGAGGACGGAGAGACCCCAGCCAAGCTGTAACTCTGGAAGAGGAGACTACGGTTCTGATGATGTCTGGTGGAGTGCTTGGAAATACTTGGAGGTACTAGGAAGCAGTGTTTGGCAGAGGCACCCAGTCGGGGTGCCAGGCGGTCCGCCACATCGCCTTTTTTAGTTGAGTTAGTAAATGATATTTTGGTAGGGAACGATCTAGATCAAAGGATGCTAGAAGCCGTAATCTGGAATTATGTGAGAATTATTGACCAATATCGTTATATTAAATATAGACCTAAAACTCTTTACCAGGATCCTTGCAGAAATATTGAGGGGAATTCTTTCAACTAATATTCATCCTGATCAATCCAGTTTTATCCCAGGCAGGGAAATAAGGAACAACACTACTAAAATTATAAATATGATAACTTATGTACAAAAAAAAATATCCCGATGATACTATTAGGGGTTGATTTGATTTGAGTTAGCTGGCCATTTATGTACGAGGTCTTAAAAGAGCTTGGGATAGGTAAAAACTTGATTTGCCAGCGGCTAGAGTCAGAGTAAATGGAACTACTTCTGAACTGATATCTATGGGCAATGAGCCATTGTCCCCACTGCTATTTACTCTGACTCTAAAACCGTTTTTAAAAGCAATAAGAAATAATAAAAAACATACAAGGCATAAGGGTCCAACAAGAATATTGGAAGTTAGTGGCATATGCTGATGAAATATTGTCGACTATTGCAAATCTCTTAAAATTATTATGTGCTATATTTAGTGAGTTGAAATTATTTAGTTACCTTTCAAATTTTAAAGTAAACACATCTAAATATGAGGTCTTGAGCATAAATATGGATTTAGATAAGAATGTTAAAAAACATACTAATTGAAAGGGGTATGTTATGCACTAAAATAGCATGGTATCATGATCCCTCCCAGGGATAATAAGTTATATAGTGTTCACTTTACCCTACTACTTGAAAAAATAGACCTAGATTTAAAAAATTGGAAGTCATTATACATCTCATGGATGGGAACAATGTAAGTGATAACAATGAATATTCTTCCAAGTATACGTTTTCTTTTTCCAGGCTATCCTGCTTTCAATCACAAAGCCTTTCTGTTGGGTATATCTGGGGAAAGTACTCACAAGTCTTTCCTATACTTATCTAGTAAGACCCAAAGTTAGAGGTGGATAAGGAGTCCCAGATATATACCACGTAAGGGCAGTGTAACGGATCACCTGGCACCCTGACTGGGTACCTCTGTTGAAGGATGCTCCTAGTGCATCCTGAGGACTCCAAGCACTGCAGCAGACACCACAACCACCGAACCGGAGAAGCATACGAATGCTCTCAAGCATTTGAATGCTGTAAGCAGCTGAACAGGAAAAGCATACAATCAGCTTACACTCCTGGCAATCAGCATACAATCTAATTCCCCCAATAACGAGACGACACTTCGTTTTGAGGTCAAGCAGAACTGACTGTACTGGCACATGCAGCCTCTTTTATTCACAATCCATAAACATAGTACTGCCCACAGGGTTTTGAAATACAACCAATCAATCCGTACAATACACACAGAAACTCCCACACAAAATCCCCCCCTCTGCCTGTGATATGATTACTGAACACAATGGTTAATATAATTATCACAGGCAGAGAAATACAGTATCATAAAACACATCACAGGGACCCCAAAACATGCAATAACCCCAAAAAAGTATATCCTCGGAACCGGGGGATCTTGGTGAACCACATATCCAAAATTCACCCAGATCCGTTCAGTAGTTTGGAAGATACAGTTTAATGAAGATTCCGCAGAACATATACAGGCTATATGAAAAACAATTACTGTATAATGTGTCCCCTGTTGTATAGTCCAAAACCACTGCACGATGTCTCTGTGTACCAAATACCGGCGAGATGGCACCGTGTAGAAAAGTCCACACAGTGTCTGTGAGTTAAAATGGCCGCCATCCATTGTTCTCACCATGTGCTTCATGCATTGTTCTCACCATGTGCCTCTGATACATGAAATGGTGGCCACCCAGTAACTCCACAGTATGTCCCCAGATGGTTCTTAAAGGGCCAGCAGCAGCACAACACAAATCCATTATGCCCAAATCATGTCTTTAAAGGGAAATACATCCCAGGGGCCATAGTCACATGGCAGGAGGCTGGCAATTAGTCTTCTCCAATGCCCAGTGGCGAGGTCGGTTTCGCCACATTTCTCCCCTTTCCCAAAAAGACTAACCTCCTGTCGGTCAGTGCCTTGGTTAGTCCAGCAACCCACCCATAAAACATAATCAACAGAGTGGCCCACCCACAAGAATTGGTTATTGCACCTGGGGTAGTGGGTAGCTTGTCCATGTCCAGGGGCTCCACCTTGGCTCTGGGGGGTACTAGCCTTCCGTATCGGTGGGTTGCTGAGTGGGCAGAGACCAGCGGTACTCTGCCCTGGTTCCAGTGCTACCACGGGAGTAGCCTGGTTGGGGCCCAGCTGAGGAGAAGGGTTAGTAGGCTCCTCCCGCTGGACCTGGTGTTGCTGCTGCAGGGGAAGACAGGCTGTCTCCCCTTTGGATATATAGCCCTGCTGCTGGGGGACAGGACCGACCGTCCCTACCCACTGTGGTTTGGGCACAGAGACCACGGTCCCATCTGCCCTGGTGGGGGGCCTAGTGTCTCCCCTTGGTGTGCTACGCTGCCACTGGGGAGAGGGGATAACAAGCTCCTCTCCCTGACACTCTCTCTGCTGGTGGAGAGGGGGACCAACTGTCTCCCCTTTCAATATATTGTCCTGCTGCTGGGAAGCGAGGCCGACTGTCTCATCTGCCCCATCTGGGAGAAAAAGGTCTACCCTTTGTAAAATAAGCTGCCGATGGGGAGGAAGGATGGCACCTTCGGCTCCCTGTGATACATACTGCTGCTGGGGAGGAAGGACAGCACCTTCAGCTCCCTGTGATACATACTGCCGTTGGGGATCTGGGCCAACCGCCCAGCATCCCTGTAGGGTCAGTAGAGAGACCACTGTCCCATCTCCACCTGCCATCTGTGGGTCTTCCCAGGACCAGTCTGTGAGGTCCCTCAACATTTACGAGTAAGGACCACCTGCTTCCGCACCTGGAAACTCCGGCTGCTGCTGGGGATCTGGGCCGGCTGCCCAGCATCCCGGTGGGCCCAGTGGAGAGACGTCGGTCCCATCTCCACCTGCCTGTTGTGGTTCCTCACAGGACCAGTCTATGAGGACCCCTACTTTGGGTTCCTCCGGCCGCCTCAGGGGGAGACGGCTAACCTCCTCGGATGCAGCCTCTACTCGGCTTCTGTAACACTCCTTCC